AATGTTAATATTTTTAGATCGTTGTGCGAATGTTCAGTGTCATGAAAAAGCTAAATGTGACGACGGATATTGTCGTTGTACGGAAGGATTTGAGGGTGATGGCTACAGGGAGTGTAGACGTATAAGTGAAGGTGAGTAAATATGGCAAGGCATCACAACCTAATAAGCTAGCTAACATGAGGAAGAGATTTTACATGTGCATGCTTTCTTCGAAAGTAGTTAGATAGATTGTGTGTGTTTGTGTATGTTATGCTCAATGTTTAGTAAATGTGCTATCATAAATGTATTTTACTTATTGTCCTTTTGCACTAGTTAGTCGCTGTATTATCTGTCTCCGTGTAAATGTGTAGATTTATGTGTTATATAACAAGTGCTACTTGCTTTCAGTAGATGCTTTTTTAATAAATGTTTCGCAACCTTTATTCCATGGTTCGTTTTTGTGTAAGCTAGCTGAATAATTGTAATTTGATTGAAATCTTTAGTAAAATCTATAGTGACTGTTATAATTAAATGATCTTTCTTCACTTTGTCTATAATTATTGATCAGCGCTTTATCAGTAGTTTAGTTGATTCCAACAATACTTACCTCGTTAATATGTTGTATTCTCTGATTTATTTTCTGCCCAAGCTGAGTGCTGATGAAAAGATTTAGATTATTTACTGAACATCCATGACTGATTAATGAAACTTGAAGGAAGCTACATAATTTTTATCTTCTTCAACTAGAAATCCTTTCTACCGTTTCAGTAACCCCGTGTGTATATTAATCATATTTAATGAACAAGCGACATTTATTCAGAACGTAACTAATCATTGCGAGAACATTAGCGGAGTCATTTAATGAAACATTTTATTTGAATGACTGCAGTTTTGTTTTTACAAAAAGTGTAAACGGATAGTTTTATTTTCAATAAGTTCACTGCCACTAATTTAAAAAACCTGATGAGAATTTATTTAGAAGAATATTTTTCGTGTAGTAATTTTTATGCTTCAAATTCTGGTAGATAATATCCAGAGAATGTCTAGATCAAGTCTTCATATTTGAAACAGTCATTTCTTTCATAAATTAATTTAGAAAAAATTAAGAGAACTTTTTCAAAATTACATGATATTTGGTTAGTTATTGTTATCCAGTTCAATGAAAACAAGGTACAACAAAAGATTTATTAAATAGCGTTGGCCGAATGTATGCACTGATATCATAGAGGATGCAGCCACGCTCCCAAATGATCGAGTAAAGAACGAATATACACTAGAAGACAAAAACCCTATGAACAAGCAGGAGAATGCTGAAAGCGAATGTATTTTGGAGACTAAGAAAACAAGTCCATAGCACCACACTTTTCAGAAGTATGTTAAATACCTTTGTACTGAATGGAAGGCTGATTAGCAGAACAAGGTGGTTTGAATCCAAGGTCATTGTTGTTAAAAAGCAGTGTTCATACTTCACCAAAAGCCTAAACAGAATATAAACGATCGTGTCATATGCCATTAAGTTTACCAATTTAAATGTACGTGGACGCATATATGCAGTGAGGCGTTTTGATGATTTCCATCTCAAAATGACTGAGTAGGTACCAAAAATTACATTTTAATGACCTCAAAAAATCAAAGGACAAACACCAATCTTTTTCCGTTGCCATACATGTAATTAAATCACGTCTAAAGTTTAATCTTCACCCAGACTTTATGGTTTCATATAAGATTGGTCTAGAGCAAATATTTTGGTCTGAAAGTTCAGACTCTTCACCTTGATACTTACGTTGAACCTGCTGTGATAATGTTGATTTCATATCCCGAATGAAATTATTCAAGTTCTTCCTTAATTTGTTTTTCTTATCTAAATATTTGTCTAGGATGACCTATCTTTCTCCTATATATATATATATATATATACCTTATCAATTTCGCGTGCACTTAGATTTTTCGAATGTATTGCGATAATGTATTAAATGGTTATGGCAGACTTCATGTCTCCATTACATGATTCAGGTTTATATCTAGAGATGCATTCCACTGAACAAATAATGACGGACGTCGTTTTCTGAACAGCTAAATGTTGTCGTAATATCTTATTTTCAAGTATAAGAGTATAGTTACAATAAGATGTAACAATAAATAGTATAGAGCCTTGTAAAATATTAAAAGGGAAGTTGTCAGACCAAAATTGTAATCCATTACTTGGATCCAAAAACAAACCTAACGGTAGCATTCAAGGTTAGAGAAATTTCCATCATTTGGAGTAATGCTATAAACACTATCAAATGAGCATATATAAATAAAACAGTAAGTTTCGTAGAATATCCAATAATCTTCACGCAGCTGGTCTTATCAAGAAAATGCATGCAACATCATAACATATAAGCCTTGATAAAAGTTATATGACTGACTTTCTAGCATCAAGTAGTTGAGCACTGGACGTGATATACAGGCTATATGTGTGTGATATGTTTTTAAAAGCATTTTTTTTCCTACATAACCATATCTTGTATCAACCAAAGCTATATAACTTTACTGTGGATATAGATTTATGTGCACGTATTCGCTGTCATCCACAAGCTCAGTGTGAGTATGGGTTCTGCCGCTGTAAATATGGTTATAAAGGTGATGGCTATTGGAATTGTGAGCCTATTCAAAGTGGTAAGCTCTGGTGCAATCCCAATGAACCAAGAAGTCTTCAAACACCTCAGTTAAACATGTTTACTTTTTTAATTTGGATAGTTATATTATTATGTCATACATAATAATATGGGTGAAACAAACTTCTTTTGGAATGAGTTACCAATAAATGATATGATTTTGTTCTGAAACCATTGTGTTTTCATATCAGAAATTAATTGCCTGATATGATGAAATGTTTTCATACACTTCCTAAAGCATTTGTGTTTGTTATGCTCAACAAGTTTTGAAAAACAGCATGATATGCTTGCTCCTAACTGAAGTAAAATATATCCTCATTTACACTTCATGTAGTTACCTTTCTACAATATTAACTTCAGATCTATGTCGGGAAGAACAATGCCATCAGTTCGCCAGATGTGTTGAAGGTCGATGTCGTTGTTTGGATGGATATGAAGGAGATGGCTATCAGATATGTAATCTAGTGCCTGGAGGTGAGTTTAATCTTATGTATTTGTTTATCAAACTACTCGTACTACACGCTAACAGTCAAAATTATTTATCAATTTAAAAAAGGATAATATATCATGATATTCCAAAGGAATGTAGAAAAAGAGTTGAACTGGACACTAAATTACATTTCTACACATTATTTACTGCACCACATTTTGTTCAACAATTAATGTCCATAATCAACCACTGTTAACTACACAATGTTTTTGTTTGCAGCATATAGTAACAAGCTAATCTAGATTCTTAAGCTATAACCCTTCTTCCATAGTTCCACCTGATTTACGAAATGAATCATTCGTCAATGCTTTTAAGGAGATATTCTGATAGGTTACAATTATTTGTTAACAACCAGCTGAGACTATCTATTATATGCATTTATATGTGAATATAAGATGGTGTTTTGTTTCTCTATATCTTTGCTTAACTTTAGTAACATCAGCAGATTGTGGTAATTGCAATGGAATTCCTTTCAAAGAAATAGCTCAGTGTGTGGGTGGGCGGTGTGTTTGTGCCCGTGGTTTTATTGAAGTTCAAACAGGGGTCTGTATGGAATGTGTGCAGGATAATTGTCACCGAGATGCCGTCTGTCGACCGGACAATAGATTTAATGGTGCATACTCATGTCATTGTAAAGCTGGTTTTGTTGGTGATGGAGTATCAGTTTGCAAGCATGAGAGTGTAGGTACAGAGGATACTACAGCTCAACACCCCTATAACCCTACATGTGATGGAGGCTGTAGGATACGAAACTCAGAATGTGATCGATATACTGGAACGTGTAAATGTCGATCTGGTTATGATGGAGATGGAGAGAGAGGTTGCTACTGGAACTGTAAGCTATGTCATCCGAGTGCAATTTGTGATCGTGAAAATGAAAGATGCATTTGCCCATCTGGTTTTCGTGGAGATGGACAAACATTTTGCGAACAAATTCCAGTTAGACAAGGTAATTCTGGTCATCAGTGTCTTTATGTTTTAAGTAATATCTTTCTTGGTCCTTTTGTTAACAAACTATAGTTTTGTAGAGAGACTGAGATGCTGCCAGTAAAGGGAAGCTTTTATCCAAAAACTCTTCAACTTTCAGATTCATTTATATATGTTATCTAACATAAGGCAAAATATGTTTTATCATTAACTACTTAGCTGTTTTAAAGTTATAAGCGATTGCTGTCTTCGAAAAATAACATGATTACTGAATATAATACACTTGTATTATTTTCTCATTATCATTTCTTGCCTTCAGATTCCTTGAAAGTCCGAATAATGGGAGAAGGTGAAGTAATGCATATAACAGACATTTCTCATCCACTGCAATTAAGATGTTTCGTAACTGGAAGTGATCAGTCATATTCCGGTCAATGGATTCAACCACATTCTGCTCAAGAAGCGATAATAACTAAAACCAGACAACAAGATGGCTATGAAATTTCCCTGCATATAAATCAACCTACAATAACCGATAGTGGGCGATATGAGTGTCGTGCTGGGAATGTTGCTGCTTTCATAGATGTAAATGTGGAAGAATCATCGAGTATGTCTGTAAATTAAATTTTTAAAAAAAATTTATAATTTCTGGTTAAATGAATTTCAAAATTTCAAAAATTTGATTTTGATAATAAGTTGGATATAGTTTTGAGAGTTATCAATGTTAGACTACCATTAGAAACCTGGTCTAACAATCATTGACTGATAATTTGAATGTGTAAAGACACTAATCTCCATAACTATAATTGAAAAAATAATTCAGTTTAGTTTTGCATTCATTTTTCATTATTCCTTTCAAGATTTCAATGGAGCATTTATCTGTGTCGTAAATGTACATTATGAATATAAACTCCATATATTTGAATTGTAAGGAAAAAAAACCTGTTTGTAAAAGTCTCTGCGACCGTACAGTAAATAAATTCAACATTTCATCTGGCATTCTGATTTAAGCATTTTCAAGGAAACATAATGAAATACAGAAATAACCAAATGTATAACTATGTGGGTGATGGGGTTAAATGTGTGCTTAAAACAGTGTTCACTCATGTTAACAATGTTGATAGTGAAACTTTTTGGGCCGTGCCACACAAGTGATTTCAGTCACATGAGAATCCTACAAAAAGGTTTGTTTCAGACAAAGAAAGATTAGTAGCTGAAGTCCTACAAATATGAGTAAATTTAAACAAAATTAATAGGCCAGATGGAAGACAATTATCTGTTTCACGAAAACTAATAATTTATCAATTAACATGAACATTTTGCATTTTACTTCACTTAATCCATCTCTTATTATATCAACAACAACGATTAATTCCACTTGTTTTGACCAATTAGTTTATTCTAATATTCAATGAACGATTAATTAGATCAAGACAATAACAAATATTTGTTAATAAGCAGAGATGGAAAATGATTAGCAGTAGAATTCAGGATGCGCGTTTCGTCCTATTTTGGACTCGTCTTCGGCTGGATTTACCTGCATCCCAGAGTTTTATGTTCACTCCGAGACTCAAACCCAGCACCGTTACCTTTTAACATCATTGCATTATCCATTTAGCTACTGAGTTCAGATAATCAATCGCTTGTGTAATGAGATGAAGTTTAATTCATTTGTATTGGTTGCTTGAATCTTCCCATGTAGGACTGCAATTGATCAGTTTTTTTCTTGGCGTATCTGCATCGTGTAAGGATTTTCTCAATATTGCTATTAGTCGTAAATATTATCTATCTCTACATATAATTAATCTTCTTTCTAAAGATATTAATTTTAATTTTATTATTTTGTCCATTTTTAATGAAATAACAGTCCGCATTTATCACATTAAATCATCTTATTAAGTTCACAGTTATCAACCATTACGTTTTATTCAGAAGTGTTTTAAGTGAACAGAAAATTGATTTTAAATAATCTTTAAGTAATAAAATATTCTAGTTGTATTTATGATTTCAGGAGTAAATCAGTTTCAAAAATACCTTCAATTTATTTCAAGCATGATGACGATCGTGAAATAAATTTACACAATATATGAGGAATAGTAGCATTAAAATGTTCCCTGATTAGTGTAATTCTGCCTTTTAACAATCTTTAAATCTGTTATAATGATGAGACTAAAAAACAGTATTAAAATTTTTGGCCGATTTGATTGTTAAATATATAAAATATATGTTTCTTCTGCTAAATTCTTATAGTTCCTTTCACTGTACTACTGACAAGTGATGATGGAATTTTGATGACACAATCTACCGATTCTAATATCAGCAAAGCTACTTTATGGAATATTGGTAAGTGATATATAAGGCAGTATGGTTTATGTGAAATACTATTTAATAAATATATTTGATCATACTAGTTAATTTGATCAACGTGTCAGCTCTATGCCCATTTACAATTATGAGCTTTGCTATCGATAGATATAGTTTACTGTATCTCACGTTTTTCCAAATATTCGACAATAACTCCAATTAAATTAACCTTGATTAATTTTCGGATAAAATACCTTGACAAGAATATGTGTTACCAGATAACTGGAAGAGTCTGACATGAATGAATTACATTTTTCAAATCCGCTTCGTCTTTTCATTGTTCTATTCAAACTTACTGAACTGTATTCGAATTGAAAATTTAGCCACACAAATATTTCAAGCGTAATTTTGATTAACTGGATTTAATATTTATGCATTTTTGAAAATAACATTACTGAATTTAATGTAACTCTATGACTAAATAGGAGGCTTCAAACTAATTCATATGTTTGCTATTTATTGAAGACGAGCATAATATCTATAAAAATAAAGTTGATAGGAATAGAGACGGGATAAAAACATGTAGGATTATAAAGAATCATTGTAAAGTATCGTTAAGAAATAATTTTCTGGTAACAAGTGAAAACTTCATACTAATAATTCAGTTACAATTTCAAAATACATATTGTATCATATTCTAGTAATGCACTAACTAATTTTAGGAATTAATCTCACTACCATGAAGTACCAGAAAGCTGTTTTATTCAAATTCGATGTTTTTCAGCCAACCTCTATGTGAACAAAATGTGAAAAATGATCATTTAGCATGTAGCTATTAACCATAGGATGGATTTGTGAAGTTCTAGTATTAGACAGTAATTAGTCCAGTCTGACTGTTTTAAAATTCAAACGTAAGTCACTGAAATATTGTCTTACACTATGGCGGATCAACCGAAATCGGAAAGTAAATAACTAGAGTTTGAACGAGAGATTTGTATGCATCACTATCGACTAGATAAGTAAAAGTACTAAATATGATCCGATATGTGCTTGTAGATGTGTAGTGCTGAAAAGTTCAAAAACTATGATGTGGAAATCATTGGGCATTAATCCCTTATTGTGAATGATTGACCGTTCTATGTTAATTTTGGCATAAACTAACTTCAAATGAACCAACTTCCACAAACTTCCGATCTTTGTTTCTTGTATTAATCAGATGATGTAAACCTGAGATAGTACTAAGTCATTTAAACACGATTGATCAAAATATCTTAAAACCGGAGTATTTAAATGTCAGTTCAGTAATTTATTGCAGACCAGTTACGAATATCATATTTTATCCTCATAAGAGTCTCCAAATGTATCATTTTTAAATTGATCTACTTTATCCATAAACATTAACTTTTCAGACTATTTTCTTTTAAGTTAAATTTTATCTTTAATGTAATGAGTAGGCATTTGTTTCTTTTAATCTATTCAGCTGAAAACAACAAATATGGTCGTGTCTCCATGGTTGGTGATTGTAATAATCAACGAATTATCTACACATCTGATTATGGTCATGCTATCCGATGGGGTGATTCAAACTCTGGACAAAATAAATTAGTAACAAAAGAAATTTACACGTCCCAAGTCAGTCGATTTCGTAATTTAGCTGCAGATTCATTGTCTGGAAATGTATTTGCATGGGATGAAGCCTATGGAAAAATTATGGTATTTAATCCTGATAAACCAAATATTTATTATACACTTGGAAATTTACATAGTTTAACTTCTTCGGAACAACAGAATTTCGCTGGACTAGCTTTACATTCTACATTAGGGTAAGCAAAAAAGGAATATTGATAGGTTAATACATATTAAAGTTTTCTAGATCTGTAAGTAACGTACGTTTTATGTACCCTGAGTTCTTTACAAGATTACAAAACTTGGTAGCTGATATAAATACTTTAATGCTGTAAAACTTTTTATTCGGAATGTTTTAATTAGAAACCTGTGATTGTGTGTAAGTGTCAACATTTTCTTGTAATAACTTAGTATAACTAATTATCCTTAACTCCTGAAGCTCACCATTATCTTATCTTCAACTTTAGTGTAACTAATGTATAACTTAACACTAAAAATTACGAAAACAGAATATTTTAATATAAAAAAAGTCAAGCTACCTAATTTCTAAACGAAATGAATAGTTAATAAAAATCTTTCTGTTGATACTGCGCTTATGTGAGAAGGTGGCAGCACAAAATTTGTTAATTGTTTCTTTTTTTAAACGTACATATATATTTACTTATTGATTTATTTTTACGACTAAAAACAGTCTTATGTACTGGGCAATATACACAGACGGTTGGAGACCGAATGGTACAATCCAAGTAGCTTCAATGTCCGGTGAAAATGAAGAGCAATTATTACAATTAACTGGTGAGCCATTAGCAATTAGTATATCACCAGCAACACCAGTGAATGGTAATTCCGCTGGAAAATTATGTTGGATGCAAAGATCTTCTAAAGGAATGTATGGATTAGTTACGGAATTACACTGTGCACGATTAGGTCAAACAGGAAGAGAGATATTAACCAATGAGAAAATAAGAGAATTTAGTCCTTCTGAAGAACCATCATTTGGTATGACACAATATAAAGGAACATTATTATGGACAGATGCTTCAAAGTAAGTACATTTTGTAATAAATGTATAGAATAAATGAGTTGAAACAGCTTGCTTTTTAGAAGATTATTTATCAATCAAGAAATTTTACATCATAGACTGCATTCAATTAGTTACTACACTACGTGTTTAATAATAGACAAATAAACCATTGAATGATCTTCACTTCCTGATAAATTTACATCAGAATGCGCATGGTCTTTATGTTCATCATTAAACGGATCAACATAAAATTCAGTTTTCATAAAGCAATTTTTTAACGAACGAAATATGCCAACCTTCAAGCTTCTAAAAAAAATGTTGTTTCCACCTATCAGCGACAACAGGAAACTGCTTTATCATGAATTTTCTCTTCTTGATGTAGATATAGATCACATTTACATAATAACCTTAGGATTTAGAACGGCAACTTCTCGGCTCTTTTAATCAATATGAAGCTATGGTACTTATAACACCCAATCGGAACAAATAATAGGTAGACCAATCTTATAATCACCTCCTACTACTTAGTACTCACGAAAATCGAAGGAATTTTCTCTCTACCTGTAAGTCTTCTCATACGGCTACAGGTTTACAGCCTGCATGAGGGAAGTCCAACTCACTCCTATCATTTGACGGGGTGTTCTTCCTGCTTAGAAAAGTTGAAAACTGAACTGATAATCAATCACATTATTTTCGATGATCAGTATGGTTCAAACTAGTATTGGAACAATGAAAAAACGGTTTATTTATAGATTCAGATAAAGCTTTATCCAATGATACATCTACACGTATTAATTTTACCCTTGTTTCAGTTAATTTCAAAATGTTTTCAACCTCATTAGTTTACTATCAAAATATAAACAGTTTAAATAATAACTTACGATATATTATTTGACACACTATTAAAAATTTTCCAAATATTTATATTTCTCCTTAAATTTAGGACAGTGTATTACTCTATTAATCCTGATCGCCGGATACGTGTGCGTTATGTCTGTTGTTCCAATCGTTTCCAAGCCCTATCAGTATTAGGTGATTGTCCACAAGGTAATCTCAGATTTCTTTAAATTTATTCTACATTAATCAGTAATAAGTTTTTAACAGATAAATTTTTATTGAGATCTTATAAAAACAGGTTTAAACATGCCAATTGTATCTGAATTCACTTTATAATGTTACATAATACATTTAGCTTCAATCAAGTAACCAAGCAAGGGTTTTCCATAGCTGGACAATAGCCAAGTGACTATGCTACGACTCACTTATTGACAGCTTTTTTATTTGTGGAGAATATTGTACACGGATTTACGCACCCCGATTTAACTCAGTCACGTTTGGAATTGAATGAGAAAGCCAAGTTGAATACCTAGTGTGAAAACTTGAAGTTAACTGCACACCTTTTAACCACATAACAGTCAGACAAAACACTTGGTGAACAAAGTAAACTTGAGACTTAGTCAGAAGTTGGATCTTGTAGCTTAGTATTAAGAGCAACACGTTAGTTACTTGGAGATAAATATTTCGAAGACAAATATGACGGAAAGCCTTCAGCATACGCACGTTTTCTACTTTAATAGACCGTGTTTCACAAAGGGAACTGATGTTCAGTATGCACACACTTTGGTCAGCACAAGTATGGTAGGACGGAGCGAATTGATGCTCGGTAGAATAGTCGTTTGGTTAGTCGACGGATATCCCAGCTAAGCCATAAGTGACGAAGTTTGTCAAAAACCAATCGAGCCTTGTGTATCTGTGCTGAAATTTCGTCAGTCACCAGGTCATTAGTATTGATGAGATAAATGAAGCAGCTGACAGAGTAAACTACTCCACTGCTTATCACTAGTTCAGGAGCCGACAAAAGCCAATCCTGAAGCAACAGTTTGCATTTGGAGGGAAAGAATCGCATTTCCAATGTGCTTTCACTGTTGTTTAAAGTGGTCATTAGACTGCATTTTGTCAGTGTCTAAAAGATAGTTGAGCTGATCCCACAGTGTAATTCCTGTCGGTTTAATTTCTTTGTTTAAGAGTGAATAATAGTCGGATTTCTAATACCAGTTTCTTTGATGAGTCTGAACAGTTGTCTGCTGTTATGTATCGCCGCCGCCTTTTCCATCTCCGTTGCCTTCGTTACCAACCATTGTTCGCGATCATTGAGTAGGATTTTCACCAGCCTGTGTTTAAGCTACCTTCGCTCATCATCGAATTCAGCGTCCAACGGGATGAGTTTCCGAGCATCTGTCAGTTCAAAAGATGCCACCGAAATCCACAGCTTCTCCATAACCTTTTGGTTTCCACAACCTTTCGGATATTATTACATAATGTTTAGGGGGAGCATCGTTTACATAGTTGTCTAACAGTTTTTCTGGCTTTGTATCGTTAAGCAGAACTTTAACAGGTTTCCTTGCTGTGGCTTTGTTACATCCAATAAAACGTAGAGAAATACGTCCCCATACTACAGCATAACCCAAGTCTGAACATGTGCTTCAGAATGAGCAGCAGTGTTCTATCGAGCCTCTTCAGTGGTGGCTGATAGCGACATGGTTCATTTGGGTCTAGCGTTGAGAAGACTTTGGAGGTCGTCACGTCGAAATGTGTTTCCCCATGATAAAAGCTGGAGTTTCCCAGAGATAGGTGGTTACCTGAGCACAGATGAGATCGATGGTGGCCATCACCTGCTCTCTAAACTGCAACATCGTAAGATTCACTCAGGTGACTTTCCATTTCGCTTAATTTCCCCATTTGAGCACCAAAATCACCAGCCACGACTATTATATCAGAGCGGTTAGCTTTTTGAAGGTTGGAAAGCTTTCCGTAAACTCAACTTTTACCTGATCTGAACGGCAATCAGCGGGAGCATAGGCATAATCAACGAAAAGGAGACGGCGAGTATCCTACTTTTTCCGAGTTCTCACAGTCCCGTTTAAAAGGACAGAGCACAATTGCCCATCTAATGGAATCCAGTCTAAGAGTTAGTCCTGCATGTGAACTCAATGCTATACCTACGCCAGCACGCCAGTCACTCAAATGCGTCACGACATAAGCCCCCATTTGGAACTCCTAAGGTCAAAGGAGAAGAGGAAGGTCAGGGAATATATCACGCCGAGAAATGGAGATAGAAATGAGAAGCATGAACAAAAATTGGATAGAACTGGAAAGGGAAGCCCAGGACAGAGTTGGTTGGAGAATACTGGTTGGCGGCCTATGCTTTATTGGGGGTAACAGGCGGAAGTAAGTATTGAATGAATGCACCTGTGCCATTGCAAACGATTTTGAGCGATGTCGAGTCATCATCCGATTAACAGAAATTCTAAAAACTTTATCCATTCTAATCATCAACTTGGTAATAGATTACTTTTGTTAGCAATTAGGATTCCTATCATGGTTAGTGAATGGATTATCATTATGATTGTGATAAATATTGTCATTCATTTATTCTCACTAATATAATATTTGCTACGATTAAAATTATTCAGAACATTTATTGATGGTATTCATTTTCTTTATTATTCAACCATTTAGCTTCAACTAATCCATGCACTTATTCTAATGGACGTTGTCGTTTTATTTGTTTACCGAATGATGGTGGTAGATCACGTACATGTGTATGTCCAGATAATGAGCCTGGATGTCATAAAGAAATGTAAAATGTATCAATTATAACTAAATGAAATGATAAATCCATTTTTATCCCAGTTCATATTTTTCAACTTATATCCACCTTATGTTTATGTTACTGATGTCGTTCAATCTTCAAAGCTCTATGTTATTCACACAATGATTCGTCAGTAAATTTAAATTTCCTTTTTACAATTTCAATATCATACGTTACGTTTAGATATTCACAAAAGTTGTTTTCGTTTAAAATTCAAACATTGTTTGGTAAGGTTTATTCTTGAAATGCAAATCTTTGTCTTACATTTTAGAACACTTGCATGTTGTATTTTATTTTACTTATCTATGTCAATTGGAAGAGTTACAATGAAAATAGGTTAAATAATCTAAAATAATTTTATCTAATTAACTGCATTCGTATTCGTCAACTTAAAGCTGATATTCATTAATTGAATACTTTTCTTAGAACTAGTTTCTTATGTATTATTCAAACTTCGGTGTCACTATGTGCTAATAAATTACGTTCAATAATTAAACAAAACTTGTTTTTGTTATATCCACACAATTTGTGGTCAGTATGAGTAGTTTAGTAAATTCATTGAATCACGAACTATTCTTTGCCAGACCTGGAAGTCCAATATTTTTTGTGCATTATGAGTACTAATGTAATGAAAGATGGCCGCCCGGATAGGATAAGCAGTTTATCCGAAGACATAATCTTCTAATTAAAAAGTGTACACTTTATCATAACATATACATTTGCGAAACAAGCGTAATCTTGTCTGTCTTCCTCCATAAATCTTCTACTCTTCAAAACACCCAGATCGCGCCATAAATCCGTATCCAACACTTCTGTTTTCGGCCGCAACTTCAGGGCGACACTCTGCTGCACATTCACTGCATACTACTTACAAGCTCCGCTGTAAGTAATACACACTACACCAGTACTTCACAACTCTCTACACTCAACATATGTAAACTGATTTTGCCATAGTTTTTCAATTTAATTATTAAAGGAATACGCCACTTTTTACATCTGTAGTACTTATGATAAAACTAGATAGAATTTTATTTCAAAACACAGATAAAGTTTATAAACAATTATTCCTAAAAGTAATCGAACCGACTTGAACACGAAAAATTTCGTCACACAAAATTTTTACGTTATTATAGAGAAAATAACATGTATGACAGTTGAACTATTAATTGGTCAAAACTATTGGTGTGGTGGTTTACCCGATACTAACTACTTGAAAATCCACATTTATTACTTCGAGTATCAAAAGAGTAAGCAACTGTGTCGATAATGTCTCAATGAATAAACTGCTTACATTTGTGTAAATATATAATGCAAAATAATTATGATTATTTTGTATCTAACACATAACAGAAGGAAAATAATGAGACCTGAACAACTAATAAAATGTTTTAAGAAGATAGCTAAATATTTAACTAGAGGAGTATAATCATTACTTAATAAAGAAACTAAGAACTGATCGATACACAAGTAGTATAACGTATATTATTCAGAGTACAACATATAAAAATATAGACTGAAACTGGGGCAGAAACTTTGTAAAAATTCAAAGATATATAGCAGAAAGAATTATTGTAAACAGTATCCGATTACGCAGTATGTAATAGATTCCGTAAGTTAGTCTTTGATCAAAACCATTTTCGCATCAAACATATTTTGAATTACAGTCATAGAAACTTAACGTTAGAAGTGAATTACCGTACTGAATAACATCACTATCGTAGTACACACATTGAAGAAATAAAGAATACTATAATCATGTTCATGGTTGTACAATTGTCATGGACTGAGTCTGTTTTGACTGTACTCAGACGTAGGCTGCTTAAAAGCATCCTAATTATCATAAAAACGTATGGTTCAACACTATGAACAAGTGCATTCGAAAATCACAAGCGTTGACCTAAACAACAATCCTGATTGTTAGTAATGTAGAGCGGCCATACCATTCACTCGAATATGAATATTGTTACTAATGAGTTCGAGTGCTTACACAATCAACAAATGAGAAGACTGAATGGTAGAAGAAATAAACCTTTGTGAATATCATTTTACGAATAGGAATTTTACGGTAAAGTTTGTAAACTAACAGGTATTGTTGATCAAGCTTTCTTTCAAGCAATTTAAATATGATAAATAATACACGTTTCTGCCCATCAAATATAGATAACGATGTCATTAGTACAACTAGTATTCTAAAATAAGACAAGCCCTTATTAAGAAGAAATTTTAGCCCATCAAAAGGATGTTTTCAAGCGAAGTATTCAGACAGCAAAGATGTTTGTTAAATGAGGAAATCTGACTTTAGCCATATCCTATAAATGAACAGCAATTAAAGGAGCTTCTGTTATCTGTCTATGTTAGCCATGTCAACGATTTAAGAACGATTGACAAATTCAGTGGTTACTTAAGTTTAGTGACTACTAATTTACAGTAAAAATAGCACAAATCAAGAAAATCATGCATAAATATATATTTATATTTACCTAAAAGTAAGAATAGAGTACAAAAATAAGGTCAAAGAATAATTTATGTACATTGTCGAAGGGCTGAATATTCATCCCAGTTAAGTACCTTTTGATCTTTAGGAAGAGATGTCTGTGAAATAAAATCGGCAATCTGTGCTGCAGAGTTTGATTGAGTTAAATAATCGAATTTTTCCGAAACATCATCAACTAATGCTGTACAGTTTTGAGCGGGAGAATCAGCCAATAAAATGGATTCATCTAACTTATCAGCTATACTCCCACTTTGATGTTTCCCTGATCTTGGTTTTGGCAATATAATGGATAGATAGGTACCGACATTAACAGTACTTCCATTCCCTATTAAAGGAGTTAACTTTACTCTTGACGTTAAATTGTTTAAACCTTCCGAGCTAGGAGGATTGGGTTCGTTTTTCTGAATGTCTAAAGAATTATTGACCTCCAAAAGATTGCCTGGAATGCCACATGATACAGGATGATTTATTCCACGATCACAAATAGCATAAGCCAGAATATCTGTAGATTTATACAAAACATGACCGCCATGTTTACGACGGCCCTTGACTTTGTTTTTCAAACGATTTAAGCCATTAGAAACCTGAAATGAATGAATAAACACAAAATTATAACATACTAAATATGTCAGTGTTGGATAGTGAATGTATTTGCAATTTAATAAATTTAACCCATATTACGAGACAAACAGTCATAAGGCAATTTAGTGCTAAGATTATTGTAATCCCATATTTGTGTCACTAATTAACCACTTACTGAATCATTTTTATTGTTAATTGCTTATTTGATTGAATTCATATTAATATGAACCAAGTCAGTCAGAAAGCTACAACGTAGAACTTGGTACGTACCTACACCAGTTCAAGTTGCCACACCGCATCACAGAGACGAAATTGTCAAGTCAAATCCCATAGTAGTAGAGGTATTAGCGGTAATGGAAAAGACTAGGGTTCGAAAAAATGAGTCGGGAATTATAATTCAGTGAAATAAATCTACAAGGAGAAAAAACAGTCAAGAGGGATTCAGAAGATTAGAATTTGAGAGAAGACAAACAAAAGATGCACCGGCGCCATTGCAAACGATTTTGAGCCATGTCACTCAAAGTCTTAAAGCATCGGTTACAATTGTCTAGCGGACCTCAACCAGGTAGTCTACATCTACCAACATGACTGAATCCAGTTGTTAGTGACTTCATGGATTTCTGCCATGTTTTGACTTGGCCGCCCCTAGCTTTCTTCCAACCTACTTCTACACCACAAAACATAGCTCGTAGAGGCATTAGGTGGTTGGGCATACATAACGCATGTTCCAACCACCTCAACCGATGCAGTTTCACTAATCCATCAACTGATCTGCCATCCTTAACTCCTACTCGTATCCTAACAACAGCAATTTTTACTCGATAGTCCCAGGATAAATGAGCTATGTCATGTTTCACCACCATATATTGGGACGGAGAGAACTTCTGCACAGTACACTCGTCCTTTGGTTAGCAAACGGGTATCGCGCCTACGCCACAATTGACGCAAGTTGGCAAGAGCCAATCGAGCTGTCTGTATCCGTGCTGAGATTTCGTCAGTCACCAGGCCATCGGCCCTGATGAGACCCCCCAGATAAATGAAGCGATCAGCACGCTCAACTAACTCACTCCCTATCAGCAGATCAGATTTCGATGCAACCCAATCCTGAAACAACATTTCGCATTTCGACGGGGAGAATCTCATCTCGAAAATTCTTGCATTGTTGCTTAGGATAGTCAGAAGACTGAATTTTGTCAGCTTCTTCACCAAATAGAATTATGCCATCGGCATATTCTAAGTCAACAAGCGAGTCTCCTGGTAGAAGGTCGACGATACGAAGATAAAGTGTCGTATCTAAGAGAATGTCAATGAAAAAGCTAAACAGTAATGGAGAAAGTGGACAGTCCTGACGAACACCACTCAAGGTAATCAATTCCGATTACAGTTCTCCATAAGCTCTTACTCGACCAGTAGTGCTCAAGTACAGAGCTTGTTTGAGGTTAATGTACTTCTTTGGTACACTTTTTAATGACAGACAGTGTCACACAATCAAATACTAAAACCAACGTTGTGATTCATTACTTGTTGAATATCATTTCATACTATAATGAAAACCTATTTCCCAACTTTGCTACTGTGACATGAAAAACCATAGTTTCATATCTTATGTATACATATACGGTAATCAGAATCCGAACATAAAATATGGCCAAGCAAATGAAAATTTCTAGAATTTCAAGATCTAAAAGTGCCTCGAAACTACCCATTAAGATACTTACATTTTATGTCTATAAGACTTAGTATTAGCGAACAGTAATTGGTCAGTCGATCAGTTATAACCAAACGGTCTAAAACGAATTTGAGTCCGCCTAGCTTGTCGCAAGATGAATGGTATGGAGAAATACTTAAACTCCGTATCTGGATGATAAAGAATTTATGAACCTAAACTAATGTGACATTTTGGACCGCAACGTCCAACGTATCTAATCATTGATAATGATTAAACCAAGATTTGGTATAAGTTCATGAAATAATTGAATGTGGTTCTGAGACATTAGTAGATGCAGAATACTGCGCGATAGCCACAATAAGTGATCAGAGACATCAGGCAACATTTCCGCGAATTAGTCACAACAGAAATTACGATTTATCTTCCTATAGATATAGAGTTTTAGTATTCTCTAATACACACCATTTTATTATCATTACGAACCATATCCTCAACGTTCAGTCAATGACTTGATGGACTAACATAACATTTGAGTTTAGTCACTGCTAGTTTTCTTCTGACACTCCTTTACCAACTAAAATTGAATATCAAGGTAGGAGATGGTTAGAGTTAGGCACCTAACCACCTCAGTCGATGAAGGTCCACATATTCATCAACTGAATTCAGTCGTAATTCAGCAAGTTTTGTGGACGTACTTGTTAATATTTTTGTGAACTACAACAATAAACATATTTTATGGTAATGATTAGAAATGGTTTGAATGTACACTTAGTCCCCCAAAATAACTGGAAAAAATCCATGTACTGAGGTGGATTAGAAGTTAAAGGAGTCGGCTTCAAACTACTATGGTTTGGTGTCAAGGTATCGATCGGCTAAAAAAACATCACATCTTAAACAAAAATTGGAGTTAAATCGCGTGAATAACTGGCAGTTCATCAAAGGATTACAGTGTGTCAATAAATATTTCTTAAGCGTACTAACATTATATATGCTGATACAGATTATCAAAAAACACATTCATTAAATTTCCACTCACAGAAGAAAAAGGTTATTGTTTAAATAGTCATATACACTGAAACTGTGATGAAATTCATGCAATAAAAATCTAAACTACAATATTAAAAAAAAGGCGGAGACATTAAATAAATTCGTTCACCATCAATAACCTGACATAAATACAAAATACTTGAGAAAAAGTAATATTTACCTGATAATCTACTCCTAAAATTTCGTGTGTTAGCGAAGAACAGACACCAGATGAGTCCACGACACATCTTTTGAAAATATGGTGTCCACAAGCAAGACCAACGACACACAAAGTATTGCTATGTCTTAGTACACAGATATCGTTTTCTAACTCTCCACCAACATCAACTAAATAGAATGCATTGAAGTAACGCTCTACAAACCGTTGTGTACGGTTATCAACTAAGAATCCATTATTTGCGACTAACAAATCTGATTGAAGTCCAGAGACAGATCTTTGTGTTTGTGTGCTTAAAAACCAATCACATGTTTCGAATTCCCCTTCTTTGTATTTTAGCGAAGTCATTACGAAGCTGAAATTAAACGATTCTTGTTTAACATAGATAAATATGCTATTTATTTTGTGTAAAATACAGTAACACCATCCACAAATGACCTTCAATCAGTCAGTAAGTAAGCTACAGAGTAGAACTTCGTACGTATGTACATCAATTCAGGTTGGCACAACATATCAGCACACAGAAATCGAATTGTTAATTCGAATCCCATAGTAGTAGAGGTGGTAGAAGTATTAGAAGTAATTGGAAAGATCATGGTCCGATATATTTTTCAAGAGGTATAATCAAGTGAAATAGATTTGAGACGCGAAAGATGAATGTCTTCGGGAGTTTAGATAGGAATTTTGGAGAACATAAAGAATGAATGCACCTGCGCGATTGCAGATGATTTTGAGTTATGTCATGTAAGGTCTCGGTTACTTTCGTCTCGCGGATCCCAACTAGGTAGTCTACACGTACTGACTGAAGATCATGGGTAACTGAAGTGTCGCTGAATGCCAGTCGAACTGATCCCTAAAGTGCTCTGCCCTTCGATCCAATCTCCTCAATTGGGAATGAATAATAAGCTTACCCTTTTGTGAAATGGTCTCCCTTACTGCCAGATTACTAATACCGGTTTCCTAGATAAGTCTGAACAGTTTACTAGTACCTACCACCTCAGCCTTTTCCAGCTCTCTCGCTTACTCTACCCAACTAATGTTCACGATCATTGCGTTGGTTTTTTGTCAGCTTGTGCCTAAGCTGACCCCGCTCCTCATCATACTCAGCACCAGACGGGATCAGCTTCCTAGCATCCATCAGTTTAATAGATGGTACTGAAATGCACTGTTTCCCCATAACCTTATGGTTTACCTTACTACCAGACATCACTACTATTTTCACAGCCTTTCGGATATCATTCCAAGCCGCCTCAAGATGGAAATCACCTACACGGTCGCCCAACCGTTTTTCTAGTTGTTCTTGAAATATATTCTTAGCTTTACTATCATTAGGTAGAACCCTAAAAGGTTTCCCTGCAGCGTTTTTCTTACGTCCAATAAGACGCAAAGAAATAAGCGCTCGCACTAGAGCATGATCTGAATCTAAGCATGTGCTCCAGAAAGAGAGAAAATCTTCTGTCGAGCCTCTCCATCGGTGGTTGATAGCGATGTGATCTAGTTGAGTCCATGGTTGGGTCGGCTTCGGGGGTCGCCAGGTCAAGAGATGTTTTCCTTGTGTTTAGAGTTAGTATTTGCTATTAATAGAAGATTGTCTGAGCATAGTTGCAGCAGACAGTTGCCATTATCTGTCCTGTGAGTCTCAACACCATAAGGTCCACCCAGGTGTCTTTCAGTTTCGCCTAGTCCACCTACTTAAGCATTCAAGTCACCAGCCACTATTACTTTGTCAGAGAGCCTAACTGTTTGAAGGTTAGAAAGGTTTTGGTAAAACTCATCTTTGATCACGTCCGAGCTGCAGTCAGTGAGAGCGTAGACAGATATGATGAAGAGGCGACGGCGAGCGTCCATCTTTCCGAGACCTTACCGTCTCGTTTAGTCAGACGGTGCACAGGCGACTATCGACTAGGATCCAATCTAAGAGAGCTAGTCCTGACCTAGGACTTAATATTATACCTACACCAGTGAGGCAAAGGGAAGCAGCAGTAGGGCTTCCAGATATACGGAGAGTAAATCAGGACAGTCCTCTATTTGGAAAAGGTAATGATTCTACTTGGGTCCTGTATGCGCATTTCGGAGACGCAGTGTACATAGAAAGCGCGAGATTCTTAAGTTCTAGCTAAGGAAAACTGTTGTCCAATTTGGTATGAGGTTCGAACATTTAAAGCTCCAATATATAGTTTAGAACAAGGATTTAGGAGACCGGAAATAACGTTTCGCGTACTCGAATTGTTTGCATTAGCGGCGCGAGATGATAAAGTTAGGTGAGAATGTTTTGTCATGGAGGTAAGAGGGCTATAAAAAATGTAGTGAAAGGATATGATTCTGACTAGTTTGGTCTCGTATGCTGTTACGAATATGAGAGTGGATGTCACTTCCCAGCTACCCACACCGTGAAAGGGTATTTCTTGAAGAACCTGAAAAAGAAGTTGGATTAGTGGTCTCAGAGACCTGGGAGCGTGACCGCAGAGCCCAAAGGACAACTTTTTGAGGCCGGTCACGCACGGCCTCTTAGTCAGCGAGTTAGTTACAATGAACAACTTCGTATGAACGTACATCAACTCAAGTCGCCACACCACATTAGCACGCGATCGTCAATTCAAATCCCATAGAAGAAGTATTAGCAGTAACCGGTAAGACCACGGTTTGAAGATATCACTCAAGAATCATACTTCGGAGAGATAACTTAAGAAAGAGAAAGATAGAGATGATGAGGAAATCAGATTAGAATTTGAGAGAACACTGAGTGAATACATCTGTGCCATTACGAAAGATTTTGAGCTATGTCGTTCAAGGTCTCTAACCATCGATGAAATTATTACGATCTTACATATATTTTACCAAGACTAATAAAACAACTTTATAGAACTCATCATCATAAGACTGAAACAAGCAAACTTTAAAAGTAACTAGCTCTCAGTGCCTTAAAACACTTATTATGATTTGACAGTTACAACAGACATTAAACTAAACCGAAAACCAGTATAAATACCTACGTTTCAGCACTTTCCGTCCATAAAGTGCATCAATTGGTGTGACGTACACGTTTATTTTATGCGGTAATAACCCTACAACCGCTAAAATTATTCCAATTTCCAATATCTTCTTAATGAGCTAGTATTAACCAGTTGATTTCTTTGCGCTCGCTTTTAGTCGATTGGATGGTAGTTTATCCTTTTAACCTCACTAGCTTTAGTCAGTTGGCAGTCCATTATGAATTTGAACGTCAAGTGATTTGAGTGCGTTTACCTCAGGGCAGTAGAGTTCCTAGATATCAGCAACTAAGTCAGTTGGTCGCAACGTTTAGAATAATGAGGAGAAAATTCTAAGGCTAATGATATTTCAAGACTGTTTAAATGAATAATTAAGTTGATTGGAGGTGAAAATTTTGAGACAGGATAGGGGCATAAGCAAAGACAATACACAAGATAGAAAAAGATAGTGATCTGGGGAAATGACATTTATAACAAGCGGGAAGTTTCGATAGATCCACCAGGTACAGTTGTTCTAAACTGGAGATGACAATCCGTATACGAATATATGTTCATCAAGTTCCCTCTGAAAGCCATCCTCTGAATGATTTGTAGTCCAAGTTAGTTAGTTAGTCCAAGCGGGGCTAACTCTTTCTCAGAAAAATTCAGCACGTAACAAGTTTTACGCACTTTGATGTGCAATTTTTCAAGGACTACCTCGAGGAGCTTGGTGATATTTTGGCAACATGCGAGTGCTGGGATGATTCGATACTGGAGATATACGTCTCCTTCAGGAAGAGGTTTGACAAAATTGTGAACCTCAAGGTGTGGCCGAGCATATGTTTTATAGAGATTAAGAATAGTCTAAGAACCAAGTTTTCCTCGCATAAGAATAAGAGCTACGTTTGCGTTGGCTTCATCCCTTGACAATTAGAAATGCGTAAAAAGGTGAGTCGAAAGCTTTGACAAAGTCAAAGAATATTATATGAATCGATATTTGTCGGTCTCAGCAGGTGGTTCAGCTATCTCATGATGGGAGAACATTAGATGCACCTGATACGCATTCCCTCAACCGGTGTTCAGCTTCATGCATCATTTGGTTCTTATCCATAGAATCACTCATTTTCTGGTTCCTCAGTTTTTCCATTACCCTCGACAGTATCGGTATTAGTGTGACTGATCTGTAACAGGCTGGGTCCCTACTATCTTCCCCTTTAAAGATTGTAGGAAGAGTAGCTTGTTACATTTAGCTGAGAGTTCGTATGACTCCAGGGAATGCCTAAACAGATCATATGCCAATGTTAGGACCTTAGAGAACACAAAGACTCAGGGTTCTCAGGTTTTATTTTGGCCATGGGCTCAAAAAGATAACTTTGGTCTCCCTGTATTTTGGGTGATTCCTTCTTCCGTTGGTGTATCCTGTCGCTGTGAACTTGGGCAGTGTATCTGAGATTTAGAGCCAATTTAAAACTACCGTTAGAATCCTTAAAAAAGACATTCTACTTATGCCAGGCTCACCTTTTTGTCTACTGCAAGCGTTCAGTACCCCGCCTAACCCAAGTTCATTTCTGTTCAGGTGTGAGATTTGCCTGTGCTGTCTTATGTGGTACAGTATTCTGAATGGTGTCTCTCAGTCTTCGCCAGTGATCGTCTGCTGTTATCCTCCAACATCCTCTTGGCTAAGAGGCATGCAGAAGATGCTCTCTCATGGTTGTGTAGTTTGTTTTGGAGTAGCAATGGTAAGTCGTGTTTTCGTCCCTCCTGAGTATTTCGTTAATGAGCTTGTATATCAAGTAGAAAGGAATAACTGACGTTCTCATGTAGACGACTGTTATTGAACGAATATATCTTCCGGAAAATGACTTTCGTCATTCTACAAGTTTCCTCTCCATACAGCGGAACTATTGTTACGATTCCATCGACAATTGCAACTCCGGTACTAGCCAACATACAGTTATTTTAAGTTGCTAATGTTCTTCGATTGTAGAAATGCTGCCCTTGCTTCGCAAAAACGCGCCTTCTTATCTACACACAATCCCCCTGTGCAGGTTTGTAAATGTATCAACATCTCCTGGAGCTTATCCACCAAGATTGATTAGGTTCGTGGATGTTTGGTTGTATCAGAGAATCTGGCTTCTTTCCGTTAGTATGTCCATAACTACTGATGCAGTGACCATCTTCATCATTTGTTGCTGTGTCCGACAGAAGCGCTCGATAATCCGCAAAGTCCAGACGGTCCAGCCGCATCCGAGCTGTACACTGTATTTCGTGCTTCCTCTCAGATTTTCACGTCTTCATAGTCCAGTCGATCACCAGGAGAAGGAGAAAAGGTTAGGGTAATCAATCTTGTCTGGTACCGTTCTTCACTTGGAACGAATCCGTGAGCTGTCCTACATGTACAATTTTGCAGTTTAACCCACCATAAGAATTCCGTATGATGTTAACTATCTTCTTATGCACGCCATAGAGTCCAAGAATCCTCCATAGCGTCATCCTATCCACTCAGTAAAATGCTTTCTCATATTCACGGAAGTTGACATGTAGTGGGGAATTCCATTCAGCTGATTGTTCCACAATGATCTGCAATGTCGCAAAAGACTTGGTTGGTGCATGATCGATGTTTACGGAATTCAACATTGTAGAATTCTTTTTGAATGGTTTGTGTTTTGGAAAATCCCTCCATGTTTACATATTTTTGCTATGACCTGATGGACTTTCTCTCTTGACATTTTTGGTATTTTATTT